TCGCCCGGGGACCGCGGCAGAAGCTCTAGGAGGAGTTTGGAGAACTCAGTTGCTGCTGCGGCTGCGGCTGGTGCCACCGGGAAGCCAGGCAGAGATCTCGCTCGGGGCCAGCCGCGAATGCAAAGTTTGAGCATCCGAGGAGCTGGTGCAACCTCCCCCCCTTTAGCTCTGGATTTTCCGCTCGGCATCCTGGCCCGGCACGGGAGGGGAGGATGGGCGTGAAACTGACCAGGGGGCTCTGGCTGCCTCCTCCAGCCAAGCACTTCCTCGGATGAAGGCGAGCCGGGGGGGGTACCCCCGTGCGCTTGGGTTCTTTGCGCGCCTCCCGGTGGGGCGGGCTGGAAGGGGCTCGGAGCCGACCCCCTGGCTGGGACCAGGCAGCAACTCTTCCCAGGAGCCAGGGCGGAGGGGGAGCCTCCCTTTCCCAGCGGAGCCGCCCCTCCATGGAGCCCGGACCCTTCTAAAATGACTTTCCCTGCTCTGCCCAATGCCAGCGCGCACGGGAACCAGACGGGACAGGGCAGCGCCAACGGGTCGTGGCGGGTGGGAGGACGCGGAGCCCAATGGCACCTCCTTGCCGGCGGGCCTGGATGTGCAGGCGGTGGGCGTGGGGGTCTTCCTGGCCCTCTTCATCCTCTCGGCCATCGTGGGCAACATCCTGGTCATCCTCTCGGTGGCCTGCAACCGGCACCTGCAGACGGTCACCAACTACTTCATCGTCAACCTGGCCATCGCGGACCTGCTGCTGAGCACCACGGTGCTGCCCTTCTCGGCCACCCTGGAGGTGCTGGACTCCTGGGCTTTCGGGCGCGTCTTCTGCGACATCTGGGCGGCGGTGGACGTGCTGTGCTGCTCCGCCTCCATCATGAGCCTGTGCATCATCTCGGTGGACAGGTACATCGGGGTCAAGTACTCCCTCAAGTACCCCGCCATCATGACGGAGCGCAAGGCGGTGGTGATCCTGGGGGTGGTCTGGCTGGCCTCGGCGGTCATCTCCGTGGGGCCGCTGCTGGGCTGGAAGGAGGCCCCTCCGCCGGACGAGAGCATCTGCAGCATCACGGAGGAGCCGGGCTATGCCCTCTTCTCCTCCCTCTTCTCCTTCTACCTGCCCCTCACCGTCATCCTGGTGATGTACTTCAGGATCTACGTGGTGGCCCGGCGCACCACCCGCAGCCTGGAGGCCGGGGTCAAGAAGGAGCGCAGCAAGTCCATGGAAGTGGTGCTCCGCATTCACTGCCGCAGCGTCCTGGAGGACTCGCTCTCCGGCGCCCGCAGCAAAGGGCACAACCTGCGGAGCTCCCTCTCCGTGCGCCTCCTCAAGTTCTCCCGGGAGAAGAAAGCGGCCAAGACCCTGGCCATCGTGGTGGGGGTGTTCATCCTCTGCTGGTTCCCGTTCTTCTTCGTCCTGCCCTTCGGTGAGTCCCTTGGTGGGCTCCCCAGCGAGGTGGGGGTGTATCCCACACACCTGCGGGGAATGGGCGCCGTCCCATCTAGGAGACCACCCAGAGAGGCTAATGGGGCTGCTCTCCTGCCTTAGCTGGCTTTGAGCTCATGCGCTAAGTTCCAGAGGTCCCAGGTTACAGGGGGAGCATGTTCCCCCCTCTCCCCTGAGCTGTTGCTTCCTGCCAGCAGTAAACTTCCAGGCTTCCTTTCCAGCGCTGCTGGCAATGAAAGGGAGGGTGAGATCCTTTTCAGGGGGGACATAAATAGGATGGTCTCCAAAGTGCTAATGCAGGGGTGGGGAACCTTTCTTGGGTGGGGGGCCATTGGCCCACAGAAAAATCAGTCGGGGGCGCAAAATGGAAACAATCCCTCACTGACCGGCCCCTGACTGAAAAGGAGAAATGCTCCCCGCATTCCCCTCGCACATCAGAGCCCCGGGGACCGGATCCAGGCAAGCCGGGGGCCGCATCCAGCCACCGGGCCTAGGTTCCCCACCCCTGAGCTAATGGGACAGGTCTGCGTCCTGGCACCCGCCCCCCTCTCAGTTCATTGTGGGGTGTCCAACAGCAGCTGGCACTGGTCTAGATCAGACACAGACTGAGGGTCATGGCGAAGGGGGGGGAAATACCTTGTAAAATTCTCCTGACTGCGCTGAGGGGGGTGTGGGCACTTTGGCAAAGACAGCGAAGCAAAGAGACACTGAGAGAGGGAAAGAATCAAGTGATTTAACATGATCGGTCAGCAGCTCGGTCGCTGCATTGCTCTGTTTCTCCCCGGTTCTGTGCTCTTGGATGGGGTTGCCTTGGTCCTGTCTCAGTTCCACAGTGGACGGGCCTCATCCTCATCACACTATGTTGCCAAAGATTAGCTGTCCTGAACCAAAGTCCGCTGGGAATCAGTGAGCTTTGGAGCAGGCTGCCCCGTTTGCAAATGAACAGGGCATATGCTGATTGCTGAGAGATGAAACTCCTGCTTTGTGGACTTCTGCTGAGACCTTGTGATGGGCCACACTATTTATCAGGGGCTGCTGATTTGCTCATTCTCTAACCTAGAAGTAGGAACTCCCCAACTCTGCTTCTGGCTTGTTCTGGTGCATTTGGAAAGTGGTAAAATGCAGGCCACCTCTGTAGTTTTGGGAAGAAGAGTGGGCCAACCACAACACCAAAAAACATGTTTCATTTCTTTGGTTAGATACCCAAGTGCTAGTTCACACAGTATCTAGGCATCTAGGCCCTACCATCAGATCTTCCCCTTAGTCAATAAAGAAAAGAAAGTTTAAATACCCCTTATTCTCTGTCAGGACCCCAAACATAGTTAGTGAGACAGGATCCTTCAAAATAGGCCCTAGAAGTCAGTGTATACAATCGACACCAGCTGAGATCTGGCGCCACATCGGGAATCATCCTTCTCCAGTCACAGACAGATCGTTAAATAAACAGCTTTAGGGAAGCCCTATAGTCCAGGAAATCTCAGAGCCATTCTACATGGGATTTTCTCATGCCCTTAGTTATTGTTGCGGGGGCGTTAGAGGGATCAGAATGCATCCTCTTGACACTAGCCAGGCATTTTTTCCCATCCTGTTGTCATTTGGGCTGACAGGGAAATGTCACGTGATGGAAGGCTGTGTATCTGAGATTCGGCTTACATGAAACACCTTTGGGATGCATCTGATGAAGTGGTTTTGATCCACGAAAGCTTATGTCCGAATAAATCTGTTAGTCTTTAAGGTGCCATAGGACTGCTCATTGCTTTGGGAGTGTTGTCATTGATTTTTCCAATGGTCTAAACAAATGTGGCTATTATGCCACCTACAATAAGCAATCATCAAAAGCTTGCAGGGTCCCAGGGACATAAGAACATAAGAACAGCCATACTGGGTCAGACAAAAGGTCCATCTAGGTCAGTATCCCGTCCGTTGACAGTGGCCAATTCCAGATGCCCCAGAGGGAGGCAACAGAACATGATCCCTCCCCTGTCACCCATATCCAGAGAAAGAGATTCATGGAGGTTAGGTCCATCAATGGCTATTAGCCAGTATGGGTTGGAATGGTGTCCCTACCCTCTATCTAGCTGTTTTTTGAACCCTGTTAAAGTCCTAGCCTTCACCACATCCTCTGGCAAGGCGCTCTAGAGATTGACTGTGCGCTGAGTGAAGAAAAACTTCCTTTGTTTGTTTTAAACCTGCTGCCTATTAATTTCATTTGGTGACCCCTAGTTCTTATATTGTGGGAACAAGTAAATAACTTTTCCTTATTCACTTTTTCCACACCAGTCATGATTTTATAGACCTCTATCATATCCTCCCCCTTGGACTTTTCAACTTAGTCTCCTCTTTTCTAAGTCTTTTTAATCTCTCTTCACATGGGACCCATTCCAAACCCCTAATCATTTTTGTTGCCCTTCTCTGAACCAGGGACACAGCTGCTCTGTCTGAACACTTTAAAAAGATGTACATTGTGGTAGGTTTGTCCCTTTTCAAAATCATCTTAGGGCTCACTGTTACTAAAATTAAGATGCAGTTGAGTAAGTCATGGTCTAAGGTCATAGCAGGGAGCCAAGAACTCTACCTCATCAGGATGTTGTAAGGATTAATTAGCTATATTTAAGAGCCAGCTCTGACCCTAAGTAAAAGAGGGAGTATAAGAACAGCCATATCGGTCCAATGGTCCATCTAGCCCAGTATCCTGTTTTCCAACAATGACCAGAGCCAAATGCTGCAGAGGGAATGAACAGACCAGGGCAATTCAAAAGCCCCATCCCCTGTCCAGTCCCAGATGCTAACAATTAAGTATTCAGGAAGACGCATAATGTGGGGTTGTATCCCTGACCACTTTGGGTTCAAAAAAGAACTTGTTAAGTTTACAGGGAATGGTTGTGTCAATAGCTGTTAACCAGTTATACTTTTGTCCTTCACAATATCTCATGGCAAGGAGTTCCACAGGTTTGCGGTGCATTGGCTTGTTTTAAACCTGCTGCCTGTTGATTTCATTGTGTGGCCACCAGGTCCTGTGTTATGCAAAGGAGTAAATAGCACTTCCTTACTTGCTTGCTCTACATCATTAATGTATTTTACAGATCTCTATCTATCCCCTCTTCCCCTATAGTATGTTGCTCAGAGTAGGGGACTAGGAGCTAGGATCCTCATTCACTGTGTGACTTTTAGCAAGCCTCTTAACCTTCTCTATATCCATTAGTGCAATAGAAAGCTGAGGTACAATGTTCTTGACCGACCATATGAGAAGCATAGGTGGCTTGTGGTAGCTCTTGGGAGATACACTGCCCCACTGTGCCTCTCTACAAAAAATGGAATTTCTAAATGGGGTATCCTCCCTGTCCCTCTGGTTGACCCTCCTTGAATCCCCTTCCTCCTCCCTTCAGGCACCAGTTGCTCCTCAAGGGAAGTATTATGAAGCTTAATGGTCTCAAATCTCTTTAGAAAGTAATGTATGTCGTGTGCTGTCGAAATGAAAAGTTTGATGATAAAAACACGCATGGTATAAATTCAGTCATAGAAGCATAGAATCGTAGGATATTAGGACTGGAAGGGACCTCGAGAGGTCATCGAGTACAGTCCCCTGCCCTCATGGCAGGACCAAATACTGTCTAGTCCATCCCTGATAGACATTTATCTAACCTACTCTTAAATATCTCCACAGATGGAGGTTCTACAACATCCCTGGGCAATTTATTCCAGTGTTTAACCACCCCTGACAGTTAGGAACTTTTTCCTAATGTCCAACCTAAACCTCCCTTGCTGCAGTTTAAGTCCATTGCTTCTTGTTCTATCCTCAGAGGCCAAGATGAACAAGTTTTCTCCCTCCTCCTTTTGACACCCTTTTAGATACCTGAAAACGGTTATCATGTCCCCCCTCAATCTTCTTTTTTCTAAATTAAACAAACCCAGTTCCTTCAGTCTTCCCTCATAGGTCATGTTCTCTAGACCTTTAATCATTCTCGTTGCTCTTCTCTGGACCCTCTCCAATTTTTCCACATCTTTCTTGGAGTATTGTGTCCAGTTCTGGGCACCAGATTTCAACTGAGGCCTAACCAGCACAGAGTAGAGAGGAAGAATGACTTCTCGTGTCTTGCTCACAACACACCTGTTAATGCATCCCAGAATCATGTTTGCTTTCTTTGCAACAGCCTCACACTGCTGACTCATATTCAACTTGTGGTACACTATAACCCTTAGATCCCTTTCTGCCATACTCCTTCCCAGACAGTCGCTTCCCATTCTGTATGTATGAAACTGATTGTTCCTTCCTAAGTGGAGCACTTTGCATTTGTCTTTATTAAACTTCATCCTAT